CATTTATAAATCTACGATCCACCTGTGCACTGAATATTGCTGCCATATCTGGTCTGGTGCTCCTTATACACATCTCGAGATCCTCGACAAAATCCAAACAAGGGTCTGTAGCTTCCCTCTCTATTTCACGTAGACTTCACGTAGCTTCCCTCTCTATAAGTATTTTCATGGCAATTAATCTAATGAGCTGTTCTCTTTGGTACGTTTACTACTAGTTTGGATACTAGGTATCATAGTTTGACTGTGGAAATAGCTAAATGTAACCATAACTTCTATTCTAATAGCTGCTTCTATCGCACTTCTCAATTGTGCAATTATTTTGCTTTCTCTCTTTTTTTGGTTTTGTTTTTTGTTTTTTTACTTACCTGCTACCAATGAACTTTAAAAATTTAAATGCAACGTCAATCGCCATCTACGGTCTTCCTGAAACTGTTCTTATATTTTCCTTTCTCCTCACTAAATTCTTCTCATTCTCTTCCACTCTCAATAGCCCATTGCGTCTTAGTGGCATTATCGCCTTGCTTGCGGTAAACTGATAAAAAAAATACACCCGGGAAATATTTTAATCGATTTTTTATACTTTATCAAGGTAAAAGTGGAGAGTGTATTCATATTTATACACAAAGATATAACGTGGAGAAAAATGCCTACACTGCCTACATCTCTCTCTCTCTCTCTATATATATATATATATATATATATATATATATATATATATATATATACATATATATATATATATATATATATATATATATATATATATATATATATATATATATATATATATATACATATATATATATATATATATATATATATATATATATATATATATATATATATATATATATATATACATATATATATATATATATATATACATATATATATATATATATATATATATATATATATATATATATACATATATATATATATATATATATATATATATATATACATATATATATATATATATATATATATATATATATATATATATATATATAATTTATTTATATATATATATATATAATATTATAATTTTTTAATTGTTATTTATTTAGTATTTTTTGGATTTAAAATAGTTTCCATATTACCAAAAACCTGAACTAAAAACTTCAAATTTAATTATATAATTAAATGTGAAGTTTTAGCTTCATTTTTTGAAACATGGTAATTCCTGTGTAGCGAAGAAACCATATTTTAAATCAGTTAATTTATAACATTTATGCTCTGTAAATTTATATTGAGCATTGTTTTTGTAAAAATAAAAGTATCAATAAGGACACCGGATTATATATCTTACTGTTCCTTCTTTTTTTATAATATATATATATATTATATATATATATATATATATATATATATATATATATATATATATAATACAATATAATATAATATATTATAAATTTTGATTAAAAAAGAACCAACAATGTCTCACTACTATATAATATTTATTGTATTTTTCCAACTTTCGGACAAGTTATTAAGTATTTTGCTCGAAGTTGTTGATAAAACTTTCGAAGTTCATATTTTGTTATTTTTGTCCGGGTTCTCCCGACTTTCGCAATCATTATCAAGAACCTATGTGGTGCCTGTGTGGCGGAATTCTTTTGTCTTCATCCTGGTATTCCTTGGAGTACTGGTCGTTTGAAATGGTCTCGCGTGACATCATTTGAAACGGTTATTGGGAACAAGGCCGCACACAAAAATAAATTGAGATTTGTTTATTTAATTTAAATTTTTATTTTTATTTCAATTTTTTATTAAAATAATACTGATAAACTATGTACACATTTAATTATATGATATATATCTAGAAGCTATTATTATACACGATAAACAGCCCACCTTAAATAAAATATTATTCAACACAGAAGATGGTATCTTGAAGTGCATATGATATAATTAATGCATGTATATATTTTATTAGTATTATAATAAGTAGAAAATAAAATAAAAATAAAATATTTGTTAAAGGAATTCTATAAAAAACAGATTAAACTGTAAACCGAATCTTGTAATATCTAAGAAGACGGGGGAGGAAAGGAAACTTTCTAACTTAGGTCTAACAATTTTTGTCTGTTCGCCAAACGAAACATACAGTCAGTCTAATGTTATCCTAATTAAACATTTTTGTTAACTAATTCCAATCTAATGTAAGCTTTTCATCGATTGCTACTTTCAGTCATTCTAATCGGGAGCGGTACTTGTTCGAATAAATCGTTTTGTTTTTCGATAGGTGGTCACATCCAATGCGGCCATTTAAACAGCTCCACCTCCTCTGGATGATGAGCGGTCTTTTGTAGATTCATGATCGTTATTTTGTTTGCTCCATTATCTTTTCTGTTCCAGGTTGTAAAATATTTTTGTTGCCTGCTGTAATCCGTTTAAAGTGGAACGTTTAAAGGCGTTCTAGTCGGTATTATTTCTCATTTAATTGATGTGGACGCTACACACGAAAGCGGCTAACATAACCAAGTCTATATTTTCAACATTTGATTTTTTTTTTTTTTTTTGGTGACTATCTCCTGCGCTCTATGACTTTGTTTATTCTCAAATAATATCTTGATTTTGATTAGTTTGCATCAGCCGCAACAGATCTAGTTTCATTTTCATTTTTACATTTCTTTTTATTAGAAAGTATAACATGACGAAAATGATACTTATTTTCTCCAGTCTTCACTATCAGAATCGACAAATAAAAAATCCGCAGATTGACGACCGTTTACCGGATACGGTCAAAGAGTAAGACAACGAATTGACTAATTGACTAAACATGGGATTGATGAATACACGTACAGTGCTGATAATTGTAGTGACGAAGAATGAATTCAAAGCAAACCTTAGAATAGCAACTAATAAATTAACCTAGTTATAGTTATATAATTCGATGAGCTCAAAATGACAGCTGATCTCAAAAAAGATCTACTAGTTATTGTTAACTGGGGCAAGGAATGACTTGTTAATTTTAACCCCTCCAAAACGAAACTGCTCTCCATTAATCATCTGAGTGACTCCTTTCTGTCTTCAAACAGCAAGGCTAGGAGAGGGAATCGTTGCGCATTCTCGGGCTAACATTCTCTGCTGACATAAAGTGGAAAGATTATATTGAATCAATTGCTAGGTTTCCTGCTAGGAAAGTTGGTTTACTATTTCGTGTGAGACAATTTTCCGCTCCAGAATCTATCTTGTGTGTTTATAAGTCTACCATTCGTCCATGCTTTGAATATTGTTGCCATATAGCGTCTGGTGTTTCTGGTATGTATTTAGAGATTCTTTATAGACTCCAAAGAATAATCTGCAGTGTTATTGGTCCTAACCTGACATCTCGGAATCACTCACTTTCCCACCGCCGTAATGTAGTTCCTTGTGCCTTTTCTATAAATACTTTCATGGTAATTGTTCTCATTAACTTTCCGCTATGGTACCTAGACTATATATATTTAAAAGTTCTAGATTGGCAACAAGATCTCATCAATTTGCAGTTGAACAGTAAGTCCTATGTTAAAAGTTCCTTCTCTCGTACTTCTCGCTTGTGGAGCTCTGTTCTGGCTTTATGCTTTCCAGTTAGCTTTAATCTTTAAAAATGTATATACAATGTCAATCGTTATCTACTGTCTTCTCGAATAGTTCTTTTTCTTATTCCTTCACACTCAGTAAACTCCTGTGTCTTAGTGGCTTTACTGCCTTGCTTATAGATAAAAACAAATAAAAATAACCTAGTTATGTTTTACCCAATGTATCCTAATATACTGGGCTAAACCGTCTTCAGTAAACAATTCTATTCAACCTAATTACATTTAAGGGGCAGGTAAATAATTAAGGACAGGTAAATAATTAAGGGTAGGTAAATAATTAAGAGTAGGTAAATAATTAGGGGCAGGTAGATAAATTAGGAGAAATAGTTCAATTATGGGGATTCGAAGCTTTTTGAAAAAATAATGTTGCCAGCTGTATGTTTTTGAAAAAATAGTATTATCAGCTATACGTTTGTTTTTTTTTTGTTTTTTTTAAAGAATAGTTTTGCCGGCTATACGTTTTTGAGAAAAAAAATATTATCAGCTATATGTTTTTGAAAAAATAATATTACCAGCTATACATTATTGAGGAAAAATATTAACAAAGATAGATTTTTGACAAAAGAAAAATATTATCAGGAAAAAAAAGTTGTCGGTATTAAATGACCATTGACCGTAAAACAAACCAAGCCAATCAGGTCTTTTTTGCATTCTACCTCCGTTGAGTAACCAGTGTGTATCTGGAAAAGCAAAAAGAAGTCGTCGAGATTTGATGTTGCGTCCCAGTACCCATTGAAACCAATCTGGTTTGGACAAAACCTTACCAAATTGGCTAAGAAGACCAACGAGTGATGCAGATCTAAATCTAGGCTTTCTTATCTGATTTCTCAGTATCATATTGATTACACTCTAGTCATAGTAGATGTGGGTGTGCGCGTAGCGGTTAACGCCGCGGAAAGTGGAAACGGTTCAGCGTGTTCGAATCCTGTCCAGAGTTTGCTACTTTCACTTTCGCAAGAATTCATTTCGGAACGTTATTAATCCATCTTTTACCCACAACAGTTATTAGCTAAAATATTTAGCCACTCACCACGAGGGTTTCATGTGGAACAAGGCCGGGTTTAACGTGGGTTTTCCGAGCCCGTAGGCTCGGCCAAAAATATTCCCTTTCGAACCCGTATAAACGGGTTCAGGGATAGTCTACCTCCTCGAACGAGACTCTGCCATTCGGCGGAGCCTCGTCCGGGTTCCTCTCTTCCCGAAACAGAGAATTCGACTGTTTAGCTGGAACCATAATTAGCTAAATAATAGAACAGACTGTGCCCTCTAGGTTGGCAATCAGTTTAGAAGGACAACTCTGAATTCAAAACCGATAAGCATCTTCACTCCGTAAAAAACCTACCTGCTACAAAACTCATAGCAGCAACACCTGGTGTGGTAAGGCTGTGGCCCTATATTCCACAGGGGATTTTAATGGCACAGAGGAGGAGGAGAAAAAAAGAGAGGAGGAGAATAGGAGAAGAAGAAAGGGAAGTGAAGAAGAAGGGGGAGGAGAAGAAAGGGAGGAGGAGAAGAAGAAGGGGGAGGAGAAGAAAGGGAGGAGGAGAAGAAGAAGGGGAGGAGAAGAAAGGGAGGAGGAGGAGAAGAAGAAGAAGGGGAGAGAAGAAAGGGAGGAGGAGGAGAAGAAGAAGAAGAAGGGGGGAGGAGAAGAAAGGGAGGAGGAGGAGAAGAAGAAGAAGGGGGAGGAGGAGAAGAAAGAGAGGAAAAGAAAGGGAAGAGAAGAAAGAGGAAGGATGAGACCTAGATGTAATAGTGTCTTGATTTCTTAGATGAAGCAGTTTTGTTATTAATTTTACCGAGTTTATCTTTCTCAGTCTGGACACTCATATAATCCCATCAGCTAAACACAGACATTAAGTTTAAGGTGTCAGAATTTCAACATTTATATTGTCCAAGGGCAGAAACATATCGGGTTGTGAGTTCAATCCACGAGTCTTATTGTGTGTGAATTTGCTGGATTCGAAATGTAAATAAGAAAAAAAACTAAAAAAAAAAAAAAAAAACACATAAACACAATTACATTAGGTGCGGCATTTGAGATTTATTGCTTAAAAATATAATCTATCGGCTGAATCTTCAAGTTAATCACGCATTATAAATAGTTTATGACTTTCTTGAGCTGACATGATTCTTAAAATGTACCTATTCGCCGTGATAAAAGACTAAGGTCAAGTTTCCACCTGGTGTTTGGAGTTGGTGTAAAGTAACATTATGTCTTTTTTGTATATCCCAGTTATAGGAACCAAGTACTAACACTATAGCGTGCGATCACACACACACATCCAAAAACAGCAGCAACAAAACCATCTCGGTGTGAGGTAATGGTTAACGAGTTTAGTCTGGATGACCATTACTAATTGAGTAGTGAGTTCGATCTGCATTGAGTGTCCCATACAAATATTCGACATTAGATAACCCCAAAAAGGATCGACATGGCATAAAATCAATTAACCTACCCTAAATAAATTAAATAACGTTTAAATAGATAATAACTAGATCACTGTGTTGGATAATTGTTAATGGGACTAGTCTGGTTGACCATTACTACTGAGGAGTGAGTTCGATCCGCACTGAGTGCCCCATACACAAATTTGACATTAAATACTTCAATAAGCAATTAACCTAACCCAAATAAAAAAAAATAATATAAAATGAATAAAAGCGATGCCTGGGAGTAGCGTAATGGTTAGGGTTAGTCTGGTTGCCCTTGACTACTGAGTAAATTCAATCCTCACTGGATGACCCGCAATTGGGATCTTGCGCAAAAATTAGTTATGCTTGGCAAATAGTAATAACAGTCTCTCTGATCTTTTGAACTGGAGTAGAGGTTTATACCTTGTTTCCTGTTTAGGATAGCGTTTACGGTTCCTTCTAAAGTATTTAGATTCGCTTGCGTCTTAGTGACATTATCGCTTGGCTTGGGGTGATCTGATTAAAAGAAAAACAACATTAGCATGCGTTCTTAATGTTTAATCAAAATTTTCATTATTACGCTAAATGAAAATAATTTCACTTGTTGGTAGTAACATCATTTAACATTTAGTAACTCATTTAAAAATTCAGAGATGAGGTATTATGTACACTATTTACATTATTCAGACTATTGTCCTCATCTTTGTCGCCATATTTATTACAACGTTTTGGCCCTTCAGTATCTGTCTATATTTCCGAGATGAGGTATTATGTACATTATTTACATTATTCGGACTATTGTCCTCATCTTTGTCGCCATATTTATTACAAAGTTTCGGCCGTTGTACGCTCCGGCCTTCATCGTCATCGGGTGGTTGGAATGTCGAACTTAACCCATTCAGTGGATAAAGGCGTTGGTTAGATCCAGTGACAGGACCCAAAGAGCGTGCGTTCAATACCCGGTTAAGGCAGTGGAGAACTTTCAGAGGGAAATTAACAGGAGATAACTAATAACTGACATCCATTAAAAACATGGCACGTGGAACTAGAACAGTCTACCCCGACATTCCAACCACCTGAAGAAGGCCGGATCGTACAACGGCCGAAACGTTGTAATAAATATGGCGACAAAGATGAGGACAATAGTCCGAATAATATAAATAGCGTAAACAAGTAAATAAAGGAACAACAAAAATCAGATGTTTACAACATGTGGATAAACATTAACCTACCAAATACATGAACTTTGTATATAAACCTTCACTATTAACATTTAATATAACATAATTATAGAGTTAGGTTGCATAAAATTCGTAGTAGTCTACAAACCTACCAGATACTTCAACTTAGTATATATGACCCATGAGATATTTTTAGGTAGGGTTTTGGAGGAAAATACCGGGTTTTATATGCGATCAAAACACGGACAAAAGCTTAAAGTATCAAAACATTGCTTAGTGAATTTATTGGAATAGTAATTGTGAGTTCAATCCCTGGGCAGAATAGTAGAGAGATTTAGTGGGAACAGGGCAAGCAATAACTTTGCAGTACTAAGATAAAAGAGATATCGCTAGGCATGGTCAGCGGAACGGAAACCCTCTATAACTGTAGACTATATTAAGGGTTCAGTTTGAAATTCCCTAATCGGCAGACACCTGAAGAAGGTACAACGGCTGAAACGTCATATGAAGACAATCGTCCAAATGTAAATAAGATCCCAGGAATTCAGAAAGGAAATGGCAAAAATAATGAATGAAGTGTGATATCCTATTATGTGTAATATGTAAAATGTGTTAAATGATCAATATTTTAACAGTTTGAATCAGTCAGTCTGTATTTCCTACGAGAGAAACTTTTTTTCTTGGCTGGATAGATTCCTCCTGGGTTTGAAAGCCTTTGTTCTAGTCGAATTTAGTAAGGAATCTGTTATTATTAACACCCGGAAAACCTGCTTTCGAGATAAAATCCTAATTCAGCATGACACGTGAGTCAGTATTGCAGAGTGCTGATAAACTCTAAATATGCTTGTGAGATCTTCTTTTGTAACTTTGTATCCGAAAAACGATCCACATCCTATAAATCTGCACGTGACCACCAATTAATGGAGTACCCGAGAGCGATATGGCGAGAAAAGACCAAAATAAATGCGCAGGAGTGGAGACCGGATGGGGCGGTGGGTAGGCGACTGACAGGTAGATCTTCAAATCGGATAGGTAAAAACAAATTTAAAAAAAACGATGTCTGCTAGATCCACTGGTGGAGAAACAGATGAGATCAGATGAAACCGGAAAAACGAGACAAGAGTTTCAAGGAAGTTGGGATGGGTTGGAGAGATAGGGGACTGAAAGAGGGAAGGAAATGATAAGCGAAAAAGCGAGAGACGCAAAGGAGTTGAATGGCTTGAGAGAAAAAAAAATAGGGAGATAGAGATTGGAAGAGTAAAGGAAGAAATAGGGTGAAGAAAGAGGAAGAAATGTAGGAAAGGAAAAAGAATTAAAATATTGCATAAGAAGGAAAAAAATGAAAAAAAAAATAAGTAGAATTATATGAGGATGAAAAGAAATGATGAAAACAAAATTAAGAAAGAAAAAGAAAAGGAGCCAACAGATTAAACATGAAACTATCAAAATGAAAGGAAGCAAGAAAGAAAGAAAGAAACTTCAGGGAATAAAGAATTTTATGAATAAAGATATAGGAAATGATTGAAATTCTTGAAAAGAAAGAAAGAAAGGAAGGAAGGAATGAAGTGAGAAAGAAAAAAAGAAAGAAGGGAATGAAATAAGAAAGAAAAGAATGAAATGACGTGAGAAAGAAAGAAAGGAATGAAATAAGAAAGAAAGAGGGAAAGAAAGAAAGACGTGAATGAAGGAAGATGAAAAAAAGGAAATGGAGTGAGAAAAATGAAATGATGAAAGAAGTAAAAGAAAAAAGCGAATGAAGTGCAAAAGAACAAATGCGAGAAAGAAAAAAAAGGAAAGGAATTGAGAAAGAAAAAAGAAAGAAGGAAAAGAAGTGAGAGAGAAAGAATGAATGAATGAAACAAGAGAATGAAGAAAGGAGGGAATAAAGTGAGAAAAAGAAAAAAGAAGAAAAAAAGCAAGAAAAGAAGGAAGAAATAAATAAAGATAAAAAGAAGAGAGAAAGAAAGAGCAAGTATTGAAGAAACGAAGAAAGAAAACAGTGAAAATTATCCTCAGAAAGAAATTCCTTTTCTTTCTGAGGATAATCTTCACTGTTTTCTTTTTTTCTTTTCTATTGTGAAAAAGAAAATATTGATTAAAAGGAATGTTGATGAATTAAGTGTATTGCACGGGAAACAAAAAAAAACGACTTTATTTATTTAGAACAAACACCTGATAGAAAGAAAAACAACAGAACCCTTAACTTTACCTAGCACAAAAGCACAAGCATCCAGTGAGGATCGAAAATGGCCTCCGAGAATAGATTCTTAACTACGTATTACTCGACACAGAGGTGCACAAAAGAATTCATGTGTGGCGGATAAAGTGACAAAAAGATATAAATGCAATGAAAAAGAAAGGTATGAAGAGTAAAGTAGGTGGGGAGATAAAGAACAAGTGTGAGTAATGCGAGCAATGATGAGAGAGAGAGAGAGAGAGAGAGAGGGGGGGGGCGTTGCAAAGCTGTTAATAGAACAGATGGGGGTATGCAGGCCCCATGTCAAACTGTTCTTAACTATTTTCGTAATCAGTTCTAATGTTCACCCTATACAAGGCCGATGGGGCTACTCAAGATAGAGGGTTACTGAAGGCGACTGTTGTGTGAGCGATAATGAGTAAGGGGAACTGCTTATGGGGATATGTGTAAAGATGACAGTTAACCCTAGACTTGAAGAGGTTAAGATTGTAGTGGTCAGGAAAGCATCCTCTCGGGAGTCTGTTCCGCAAAAGTTCTTGGGAAGAAGCTATCCGAGTGTAACTTGCTCCCGACTAAAGAAACACAAAAGGAATGTGCGTGTTTCACCTCAGTGTGTAAATCTTCTTTGATACTGAGAGGAGTCCTATAGCTCACAATTTTAATATCTTAATATTAATATTCTGAGCTACAGGACTCCTCTCAGTATCAATATTATTTACCAAATGGCCCTCTTGGATCTTTACCGATGGGAAAGACGAGAAACGTCGTCCTAGTTACAAAAACAGTGTAAATGGGTTTACACTCCCCGCGGTCTTTTGAATAGAAATAGAAGTTTATCGCTTCTTTCCGGTTTAGGATTGGGTTTCCGGTTTAGGATTGGGTTTCCGGTTTAGGATTGGGTTTCCGGTTTCTTCTACTTCACCACTATACTTCTATACTGAGCTTTGAAATTTTAATTATTAATTATTTTTTTCTTCTTTCAGATAAGTTCACCTATAGTCCCGTTCACATTCCTCTCCAGTTTTTTGAACAGGAGTAGAGGTTTATTCGTTGTTTCTTGTTTAGGATTGGGTTTCCGGTTCCTTCTAAAGTCTACTTCAATTCTATACTTCGAACGGCTCCGACTGAAATGTTATTCACTGATTAAATCTTGACCTCTCCAAATCTAGAATTAGATGTCTTTCTTGCATAGTCCCATGAATATCACTTCTTGCCCTTTCATACAACACCACACATTAACCCTCTACCTTGAGTGGCTCTTGGGCCTTGTATTGAGTGAACATTAGAAAAAATAAAAATCTTGTTGATGTTGCTTATTCGTACAAATTCTCTAATCAACCTCAATTTATTTGAATTGAAAGAAAATGAAGAGAGGAAAGAAGGTAGAAGAGGGTATAGCTCCCTTCCCCACCGATCAAAGTCACAGAACCCTGCCCATTGGCCCACTTACCCATCCCCTCTGTTCCGGCTTGTTGAAGAGCAAACAGTTTGGGGTGAAAGCAGAAAGTGAAGCAGGTGAAAAGAAAAAACGCTGACAAAGTATTTAGTCAAACGAAAAGTTAAAAAAGGTATAAAGTAGTCAGGTGGAAAGCAACGAAAATTGCCTGCTTAAAATAGGATCGTTCTGCTACACTTAAGAAAAATAGATGATAATATTATTATTAATAATAATAATAGCTGAAGTACGTGTTTACGTTGTGTCCTAGATGAAGGCTTCGAACGCAGTTGATTACAATGACAGCAAAACGATTCATTAATACTCATAGTAAGTTTTCAAAGAAGAAATGCTATAAAATCTATATATATATATATATATATATATATATATATATATATATATATATATATATATATATAAAGAAATATAGTCTTAAGATGTGCTATATTTATGGGATAAAGTGTTCAATATCAGAGATAGAGCGTGTGTAAATATAAAAAGTGAACATAGAAGTCAACACTTGGAGGTGACAGCCTGTTTCATGCTAGATGCAATCGTCAGGCCTGACGATTGCATTTGATATGAAACAGACTGTCGTCTCTAAGTTTTGACTTCTATGTTCCCATATATATATATATATATATATATATATATAAAGAAAGAACAGCAAGATATATAATCTTATGTTCTTATAGATATTTTTATTTTTACAAAATAGTGCTCAATGTAAATTTACAGAGCATTAAATGCATAAATACATCCCTTCCCACGACCCAAAAGTAGCAATAACTGATACATTAAATTATAGACATATTGAAAACCCGGCCACCCCTGTCTAGGAAAATAGATTTATCTGTAACCTTGGAAACATGAATTTTGTTTTAGCTGTGTATTTAAAACCCAGTAATTTTAAAAAGTTACTCCAAAACTCGCTTTAGGATGAAATGGAACTAATGTCTTTAATTTAATCACAAAATTAAATTCGTGGCTTTTAGCTTCCATTTTTGAAACATGGTTAGAACTGTGTAGTGAAAAAAAAAACATATTTTAAATCAATTAATTTTTATATATATATATATATATATATATATATATATATATATATATATATATATATATATATATATAATTCAGAGTAGTGCTTTTAGACCGTTCAAGGTACAGGACCCAGTCTATCCTGCTATTTACCTATACCTGGTGCGGGGTGCAGAAGAGGTGGATTCATACCTTTTCCTAACGTATTAGCGCGTAAGTGAATGTAATGAACTCGACTCTCGATTCCTCAATCCTAGCCACTATCCATTATTTCTCCGTGTCATATATATGTGTGTGTGTGTGTGTGTGTGCGTGCGTGAGATGACTTATTAAATAAGTCAATGTCTGGTTCAATCCCCCCCTTACTCTTAAATATCTTAATAAAAATAGATTTAAAATTATTCCTATCTCTCCCTTCCATCTCTAATTTCGACCGTGTTTGTCATACTCCTCCTCTCTCTATATCACCTTATATCAACTTAAAACTACCCCTCAATAGTGTGTAAAAACTATATGTAAATTTAAAACATTTTTTCTCCCTTGGAAGTACGGTCTGATGAACCAGGTAAAAATCATATACCTGGGGAAATAAATTATGACCATTGGGCCCTTAAGGTTGTCTGTTTTCTATTTAAATTGAATTAATATATATATATTCTACCAGCTATTGTTTAAATAGCAGGGTAGACGGTACTCTCTAGCCTTGAGTACCAGTCAGTATACGAGAAGATTGGCTGCTACTCAAGGCCAGAAAGCTCAGTCTACCGCCGTTTTTAACCCATAGCTGGGACAGAAGAGATTTATTTATCCCTTGTCCAAAGGTAATAGTGTTAAGTGAGCATAATCTGCCAGGTTAGAATTTGTATTTCACCAATTCGAAATTTTTGTGCCCTTAACACTTATCCGACTCTCCAATATTGTTGATCAAAAAGATATGCTTAGAGTGAGTTAGGAAAATTATGGCATTAATACTCTGACAGAGATTTGGGTATTGGTTATTTTCTATGTTCGGTTGCGCTGACTTCAAAGAAGGCCAATCATGATAGGCGAGACAAGAAGCAAGCTGTCTTGATGACTTTCGCTGGGATTCGAAAACTGGTTTCTAGCGTTAGAAGGAAAAATCACTTTCAACTTACGCTTAAACAATAAATAAATAGAAAGGGATTTATATTATAACGATCCGATTTCTGCTTACGGATGTGTGTTTGCAACCGCAACAGCAAAAACGGAACACCGTAGCGAGATTTCTGCGAGGGTAATATCATTAAAAATGCTCTGAGATTAAACTGAAGATTGAAACAATTGCCAAAAAAAAAAAAAATAGATAAGGATCTCTATTATAACGATCCGATTCCTGCTTGTGGATGTGTGCTTGCTACCGCAACATCAAAAACGGAACACCATAGCAAGATTTCTGCGAAGGCAATATCATTAAAAATACTCTAAGATGAAATTGAAACAATTTCCAGTTAAGTTGTAATAAGTGTGAAGTCTTCGTCCATGCTCACCCACGTAATAAGACTCATTTTTAAATGTACGCTATAAAAAGCTGAAAAGGATTTCATGTCAACTTTTGAAGAAAATAAGTTTAATTTTTTTTAATTGCTGCATAGAATAATGAGACCCGTGAAATAATGTCACTTTTATTTGAAGCTCGTGTATTAACTAAAACAAACTTCAATTTTAATTTAAAATTCAAAAAATTAATCGCTCGACTCCTTTTGAGTTAAGAGTACAAGTAAAACTAACTTTGAATTTTAAATTTAGTTTGGTTAATTTGAATTGTTTGTAAGTAGTTATCGACTGAAAAAGATGTGAGGCCGATTTGGGGGCAGTTATGTATAATTCCCATTCGATCATACCACAAATTGAACCAGTTTCAAATTGTAAAATAAATTCACGTTTCATGGGAGGAAGGAAAAAAGGAAGTAAGAAAAGACGGGAGAACTAAGCTAGGGAAGAAAGAAAAAAAAAAAATGGAGAGAATAATGAAAGAAGGAAAAGATGACAAGAAGGAAGAAAGGAGGGGGTAAATGAAAAAGAATCAAAGAATAGACAGAGGGAAGGCAGAAGAAAAAAAAAGAAGAGGAAGGAAAGAAAGAATTTCAACAAGAAAAAAAAATGTACCTGCCCAAGTGCAAAAGATTTAGTTTTTAATACTAACATCGCTCCCAAAATGTGTTCTTGTCAAAAATCAGCTAAACTAACGTCCGACACGCAAACATCTGATTTTACAAGTATTTAACGTCAGTTTTTGTTAGATAAAAAAATATTAAAAACGGAAAATCCTAGCTTGAATTCAATATATATTTACTGAATTACCTTCGCGTTTAAAACATAACTTCTGAAGAACGAGTATTAAATGCTGAGAAAGCTAAATCTGAATTCTTACTACTTAAAAAGAAAACAACAAAAAAAAAACGTCTTCACTAATCGTACCACAGCACCTACCCTGTTGAATGTTTCGCAATCTCTCCGCACATCCCCCACTCCCTTGCAACTACTACTATTAGTGGGCTTTTAAGAAATAAAATAACTAGCAAATGTAAAAAAACGAAATAAATGGCGATTGTCATTAATAATAGAAGTGTTCGTAAGAAGGAGTTGCTTTTTGGAGTTAATGACAGTTTAAAGAATTGCCTCCTTTTCTTAACTAACACTACTAGTAATATTAGTAGTAGTATAAAAAAATTTCTGCTGTCATAATGTTCCGAAGGAGTTAGCCAAACTTTAAGGGCACTGCAGACGAACTTGTTTAGCTCACGGTGAAAATGTCTTTGCTATAGATACGATTTAGTTTAAAAAAAGAAGAAAAGAAACGAAAGTGTGTGTGTGTAAGAAAAAGAAATAGAGAAGAAAAAGAATATAAAGAGTGAAAATTAAAAACAAATAAAATAATAATAACGAAAAAGAAAAAAAAATAAAGAAGAAGAAAAAAAGGCAACAGGCTGGTCTACTAACGAAATGTTTCTCTAAGGGGTGACGTAGGAATACAAACAAGTCGCTCGCTCATTTACTTGCTCGCTCGCTGACGACTCGTCTGTCCGGAGGAGATCGACAGAAATTATTATTCCCCATCTATACTACTTTAAAAGAAAAGAAAAAATAAACAAACAACTTGTCTGGGGCAAAAGAAAGAAAGAAAGAAAGAAAGAAAAACAGACAGACAAAAAGAAAGAAAATATAGAGCGCTGAGCAAAAGAGACGTTTTCTGTAAAAAAAAAAAAAAAAAAAAAAATTGTTAATCTACCTCACCCCCCTCCAAATCTTTTTTTTGTGTTGTGTTGTTGGCTGGACTGTAATGCTCGGTGCAGACACGGGTTATTGACCTGTTAGTTTGGGGGTCACTATAATGGCATTGAAACGACCACTGGTCACAACCCTAACATCTATACAATTTTCTTGGATATCGATATACATTTTACTTAGCTCAGGTAAGTAAAGAAAATTGCTTCTTTCTATATTAGTAGACTGACTACAAACGCGCATGTGTACATTCCTTTCATTTCCATTTTGACTATTCCCCTGTAGGTCTTCGGCATGGTATTTATTAAAAACGTTGGGGTGAATGTTTCATCTTTTTCTCTCTGGTATGCAGCACACAGAAAAATATATAATGTAAGCAGAAGGACAAAAACAATTAAGCATTACTTTTGGTAAAATAAAAAAACGATTATCTACACGAGGGTGAATCGGTTACTTACTCTGTTTCTCGATATTTACTGACTTTTTTAAATTTCTGTATATAAAGTAAATGTGATACAAATACTCGCTACTTACGTATAACACGGTTTAAGGTAAGCTTGAGAAATTTATTTAAAAAAAAAATATACCTTTCTTTTGTTGCTTTTTAGTATATATTTTTATATGCACTCTCTAATTTTATGTACTTAAACACAATTTATAAACACAAATGTCAAAACCTTACTTTACTCACGCGGTAAATATAACCGGTATTTTAAGTTAAAATTATTAAATCTTATTTTACATAAAAAATATCGGCATTCCAAGCAGTTTTTAAATTTCATGTGAAGTATAATTTTTCTATTTCAAATTTTCTATTAAAATACATTTCCGCTGATGGGTACGCAAATTGTTTTCATGATCTTTATTTTAAAGCAATTAGCACCAGACTTACATAAAAACTTTAATATACGCCTAATCTACGGCTCCTGATTTGGAGCAAAAGAGATAAATAAATAAAAATAAAGATTGCTGAAAAATGTTTTTCACTTGTTTCTTTTACGATCAATAAAATACTGAATTATTTTTCAAGTTTTGCTACCCTCGTCTAGCAGGCGATACGTTTTTAAAAGAGAAATACTTTTTTAAAAAAATTGAATGGGTTCTATTTGCCTAAAATAAATACAACAAAATATAAATTTTTATGAACAGACGACCATGTTTGGTGTAGAGTTTAAATAACTTTTCAGACTAAAGATTTTTGACATGGATGACTTCGAGATATGATTCAATGTACTTTACACAGGTGGGGGGATGCTATCAGATTTCTGTCTCTAGAGTGGGTGGTATTATCTTAAACTCTCAGATATCTGGTAATATTAAACTCTTTCAGGTATAGTGAGGTGTCATTAGCAAACACAATATAGCAAATATACTTCGAAAAATCGTGGTAAACTGAAAACTTCAATTTACGTGTTCTTTCCTTTTTACATTTTCCTGTAAAGCTGATTTTTTTTTCTCTCATAATATATAGTCTTATTTAAAAAGTTGGTTAAAAAAATCCCCCAACCCGCAAAAAAAAACAATTCCATGTCTAATATAGAGAGCGTGTATCCATTTTAATATCATTATTCTGCAAGGTAAAAAGCAGTACAGAAGCATATTGACTTCTAGAACCTACCATCGCTTATTTTTATTTTATTTTTTTTTTTTTTTTGGTGGTAGTGGGGGGGGGCTAAAAAGTAGACGCAGATTTGTGTATGTTGGCAGTTGACTGAATACAACCTGTTGCGAAAGCTCGTATTTCACGTTTTCAGTGAATATAAACTCGAGGTTTCCGTATGATTTTCCGCGATGAGGAGTTATCAGTGTCTACATTCACACTAATGCCTTCAACTGTTATCAAAATGTTTCGACAGGTTGTGCCCTCTTCTTGCTCTGTTGGCCTGATAACCTTCAAGAGACTTTCAATAGAACCCCTTATTTAATGTACGGCGGTAGATTGTTATCGTTCAGCTGTTCATGCTTCAGGACATCTGGTCATATTCGATATTTCTTGCTCTGTTTCCACCGGGCTGGTATTACCCAACGCAGGGAAAGAACTTACAATTACTATGGCACCAAATTCATTAATTAGCGCATTAAGCTTTTAACACTCTGTATGTGAATTCATTTGCAATACAGAAAGTTTATTTTGCCATTGACTCTGATTCCTAAACAATAGTTTTTCAATTTCATAGTTGTGTTGTCATATCCTCTTATGGTAACACAAAATAACTTTGAGTGAAATTAAACTTATTAACAGTAAGAATACTACAATTGAGAGACATCGAAAAGGAGTAGAAAGGGAAGTAATATTAATAATAATGCAGAGTGCTAAAGGTTAATCCACTAGGGTGCTGCTCGAGTAATAGGGACTTGAACTCGGTAAAATCGGGGGGGCGATCAATAACTGAGCAGGACTAAAAATAAGAACAAGACTCCATTGATAGCGGGACTAGAACAATCTCTGCATATTATATATAAAAGGGTTCAGTCCGAAAATCTTTGAAAGCTACTCGCTAGTCACATGAATAAGACTTAGGGAATAACATCCGAAACTTTGCGGTAAAAAATAATAAAGATGAGGATAATAGTATGAATGTAAATAAACTCGAAGGCTTAATCATGTTCTTCAACTTTGTTTTTATATTGCTATCCTATAAGCAACTCCATATAACGACTATGAATACTTTTCTAATTTTTTTAAAACTAAAATTTAGATCTCTGTCTCTGCCTGTGTCTCTGTCTCTGTCTGTCTATGTCTGTCTGTCTATGTCTGTCTGTCTATGTCTGTCTGTCTATGTCTGTCTGTCTATGTCTGTCTGTCTATGTCTGTCTGTCTATCTCTGTCTGTCTCTCTCTCTCTCTGTCTCTCTCTCTGTCTCTATATATATATATATATATATATAAAGTCTCTCTCTGTCTCAACCAATATATTATATAAAAGGAGAGACCTACGTTAAAAACATAAAGCAATAATTTTCATGAGGAAAATAAAATGATTTGAAACTATTTAATACAGAGAAATAAACTCGCGCCTGTTTTGTGTAAACTTTTAGCAACACTAATGTTCTCGTTACATTTGGGTTATTTTCACCAAGAGAATCTGAGAAATGAAAGTGTAATTACTTATAAAGTTAAAACCAAGAACCGTAAGAAGGTAGTAAAAATATATTTTTATTACGAAATTTCAAAAATGAACTAAATGCGGACCATTTGGGGTGTCCCTGAATGGTGAGTACGGGACATACCCAGTATATAAGGGGACGTCCAGTAACCCTACCCCTGCCCAAGCAAAGAATTGCTTGAATAATCCCTACGCTTTTTACACCTTGTAGTCTTTTCTACTATGTCTACAAATTTGTAAAAAAACCTGCTCTTTTGAAATGTTGAATTTTTTTTGTGGGGGGGGGCATTTAGATATGCTCCTAAATATTCATTCGTCAGCTATTTTAATAAATTTTGTAATAGTCTAACGAAAAAAAAAATTAAACATGACGAGGCACAAATACAACTGGCTCGTATAAAAGTGTGTGTGTATGTATATATATATATATATATAGTGTGTGTATGTACTAGTTTAGCTTTTGTTTGAGCATTTAATCAAGTTCTAACTTTCACTTTGAACTTTAATTCACAATTGAATCCCAAATCGCATTCCTAATCAACACCTACTCTAAGTTCTAGAAGAGTAGTTTTTTAAAGAAAGTAAACAGGAAGTTAAATACAGAATTTAATAAGGTTTTATGTAGGAAGTAAACATTAAAAAATTGTTCGTTTTTCATTGTTTACGCATTTCGTCGAAACTTCAGCTATAAACGCTAACACATGCACAATTTGATATTTTGCCCTAATTTCATAAAACCTTGTGTGATTTTTCATTAAGCATAGTGAAAGGCTCTTGTACTTGACCAGAGCCAGGGATTAAACGCGCAAAAGTCAGAACTAGATGCGTTATAGCCAAACGCTTTCGTCTAGGCTTACGGTCACATCACGTTGAAACACCGGTTCTCGTACGATCACCGAAGTTAAGCAACGTCAAACATGGTCAGTACTAGGTAGGCAACCTGAGGAATACCAGGTGCTGCAAGCTTGGATGCGCGTGTGATGGATTAGTTTAGCTTTTGTTTGAGCTGGATAACGGCTCGAAATTAGAAATCAGGGAGTCGGGTGCCAATTCAAATCGGGTTCGTTACATTCACTTACGCGCAAATACCCTTCTCCTCCAGCTATGGGTTAATTAGTAGGACTTGTATCAGTAAATCATTATGTCCAAAGTTTCTTAACATCTAAAAATTTATTTTCGGGCTTTAAATAACCCATAAAGGTTAATAAATTATAAAACGCATATCAGTCAAGTGGTGCACCTCGAGGTGGTGTAATGGTTAGCAAGCTTGCCTCGCTAAAACTGTTACGACAGAATAGTGAGTTCGATTCTCACTGGGTGCTCCACACTTTCGGTCGTGTGCCACATCTAAGATACGCTTAGAAAATCATTTTGAGGGAACCTCGGCGTGGTGTAATGGTTAGCAAGCTAGTTTCGCTAAAACAATTACTTACTCAGTAGTGAGTTCGATTCTCACTGGGTGCCCCCTACTTTCGGCCTTGTGCCACATCTAAGCTACGTATGGAAAATCGTCATATCAATCAAGCGTTCGTCTACTAAGTTGTGTGTCGTGATTTTCCAAGCATAGTTTAGATGTGGCACAAGGCCGAAAGTATGGGGCACCCAGTGAGGATCGAACTCACGACTCAGTAGTAACTGACATAGCAAGACAAGCTTGCTAACCATTACACCACGCCGAGGTGTCCCTACTAAGTTATGTGTCCCTACTAAGTTATGTGTCCCTACTAAGTTATGTGTCCCTACTAAGTTATGTGTCCCTACTAAGTTATGTGTCCCTACTAAGTTATGTGTCCCTACTAAGTTATGTGTCCCTACTAAGTTATGTGTCCCTACTAAGTTATGTGTCTCTTGGGTCTGACAGTGCTGAAATGTGACCTACCCAGTTTCAGTGGCAGAAACGGACAAACGACATAAAACGGTGACTCACATTGTTGAGAATAAACTAATATGATATTATCCCCCCCCCATAGTTGGAGGTTATTTAATTCAAAGTTTCCTTCTCTTAGAGAAGTCTGTCCTACTATTTACCTATATTGTTAGGGAAGAAAAGATAAATTCACGCATTTCCCAAGAGTAAGTGAATGTAATGAACTCGGTTGGAATTCGAACTCTGCTCTCAAACTCCGCAATCCATTACTTCATCGTGCCTCCAATAGATTTACCCGTGGCTATGGATAAATAGCAAGACAGACTGGGTTCTGTGGCCTTTTGTGCTTTGTAAAATCGAAGATGAACATTCTATGCCAAATAATAATGCATATAATTATGACATTTCTTTTATGTGCCCTATTCTTTCCGATCAAGGCGCTTCACAACTTCCTGTACTTTGTAATTCTAAAGACCCCACCCCTCCCTGTACCCACTCTGTCAGGGTTGGCTGAATTCGGTTACCACTGTAGACTTAGTCTCATGCCAAACTGGCCCGACTCCAATAAATAAGATAGTTTGTACCTAAAAGTTAAACTGTTGTGTGTGTGTGTGTGTGTGTATATATATATATATATATATATATATATATATATATATATATATATTAAAACATTTTTTATGTTTATACGTTCTTTTTAGAGATACAAATATTTAAATAAATGCTCTGTTTATAATAAATAGTATTAACGATATTTCCCGGTCTGAATGTCCGAGAAATTTTCATAAAAAATATGCGTCCTCAGAGAGGAATCGAATCTGTATCTTATACGGAACCGTCATATAGTCTGTCGTGCCTTTACCGATTGGGCCACAGAGGAGAGTTCGGTTAGTAAGGTCGATTTTACTGTTTTTAAACACAATTCTCTGATTTTCTCTCATACATTCATATCTGCTCAATGCATATTCAAATGTAATCTAATGACGTCACACATTCTGAAATGGTCAGTCCGACAATTATTTTTTAAGACAATTTTTATGTTTATACGTTCTTTTTATAGATACAAATATTTAAGTAAATGCTCTGTTTATAATAAATAGTATTAACGACATTTACGGGCCTGAATGTCAGTAATTTTCATAGAAATTATGCGTCCTCCGACAGGAATCGAACCTATATCCTATACATATAAATATATATATATTTGCATATCCACCCTTATTGTGTTATTTAATGTCAAATGTTTGTATGGGGCACTCGGTGAAAACCTAACTCTGCAGTAATGATCAAACAGTTTAGTCTCGTTAAACATTATGCAATACCAAAGGGCCCAATTCGTTGAGAACATCTATATTGTTCTGAGCTTTTTTTTTTTTTTTTTTTTTTTTTAAATCCCCTTTCTTTCATAAGTAATATAAATTTTTATTACCGATACTAAGGTCAATAAGATTTTTTTTTTCGTTAACCATCCTTTTCAGGAAGGGACACCTTCGGCAAATACAATTTTTTTAAATTTTTTTTTTATTTACCAATCCTTTTCTTGGTTGTAGCTCATTTGGCTTTAAGCAGAGAATTAACTAATGTCTATTTCTAAGGGTCGTCCTCACTCCATGCAGCACTTCCCCCATTTTTGTTAAATGGATATTGATCGTTCTCTGGCGCTTGGGCGAAATGCCGAATCAACCAGGCCTTATAAAACATTGCGTTCGAGTAGGCGTGCAGGTAAATATCATTTTGCTTTCAGTAGGAAGTCTGCATATCCGAGCACATCGATATTCTGTGAACCTGTACAATAAATAATTTTAAACTTTGTGTCCTATAGGGGATAATTCAAGTTGTAAGCACTTTGAGCTAACAAACAAGGCGGAAGTTTCACCTCATACCAAAATAAGGTGTCTCGATAAATTCAACGTGGAGAAGGCAACGTGAAACCGCATCACTGACCTTCATTGGAAAAAAAAAATCATGACTGTACGCAAGTTTCTTTTAAAGGAAGAGTATAAGCAAAGCTCTACAAGATGGCCTATACTGTATACGGGTTCTCGTACGATCACTGAAGTTAAGCTATATCGTGTCTGGTCAGTACCTAGATGGGTGACCGCTTGGGAATACCGGGTGCTGTAAGATTGGATGTGCAGGTGGTGTATAGATAATGACTTAGAGAGCAGTTCTAATTCCAGTCAGGTTCGTTGTATTCACTTATGTGCAAATACCCTTTGGAAAGGTATAATTCCAACTTTTCTCCGCCCAGCTACGCCTTAATAAGTAAAACTTATATCACGAAATCCTTATCCTCCCGCCCCACCTAAAATATTACAATCTAAAAATATTTACTGGCTTTAAATAACCTGCAACGGGCGGATAATCCGTAAAAAGTGATTCAATCAATATATAGTGTCTAAATTGAACAAAAAAAAATGAAAGAACTAAGGGTAGTTTTTTAGCGACTTTGATTCATATAATTTATGTTTATGAAAAAGTTTCGTATTTTTTTTTTCTAAAAAAAAAAAAAAAAAAAAAAAAAATCCTTCGTCGCCTAAAGGCGTCGACCCTTAATCCAAATTTGACTATCTGACTTCTTCCGCCCTCAAAAAACGAAAATCCTCTTTGTTAGGAAAATATTACGCTGTGGATGATCCCAAAATTTGACATTACAGATTGTTTTGAAAAATGGTAAAAATGAAGGAATACCTGTGGGTAATTCATTTTCATTCGTGCAACGTTTGCTGAAAAGGCAAATAATTCAATTCGTGTTAGTGTTTTTAAAAAAAAAAAGGTTTTTTTTTTTGTTTTTTATTCTAACACCTGATTTTATTATCGAGTTTTTGCATATTTCATGTCAGCTGATATCTGCTAGCTTTCTTCAGGGGATCAATCCCATGGTTTTGTCTTCAGGGGATCAATCCTATGGTTTTGTCTTCAGGGGATCAATCCTATGGTTTTGGCTGGATTGGGAGATTTTATGAGGTATTAAACCCTGTAGGTTATTTAATGCAAGAAGATTTTTGAGTCTTTAGGTTGAAGACGATGAAGTCGGCAGATTCTCGGCCCCACTGAACAAGACAAATGCAAAAATCCATTCATTTTCTCCTCTATCCCTAGCTATGGGGATCAACTAACTACGAACTAGATCGCCCAAGACGGCTGTATGGTGATTTTCTAAGCGTAGCTTAAATGTGACACAAGACCGAAAGTATGGGGTTACCCAGTGAGGATTTAACTCACTACTCTGTCTTAAGTTGTTAACCATTGCACCATGTCCAGGTGTCATCATAAGGGTTTCTGGTTCTGTATATATTACAAGGCACTCGTAGTTTTCACCTGACTGTGGAATAATGAGGTTCAATCCTGAAAGATTTTTGCATGACTCCATTGCAGATCACTTCCACAAACCTGCTGTTAGATTCTACTTTTTTTTTTATTGCTGGACTATTTAACTGGTAACAGGGCCAAACTGTCGGTAGGTCTTGAGTTAAAAATGTTAATTCTCCAGAAAGGAACCGATCCCCCATTCCTGCAATGCCCTCTCGTTTACAAGAGTCAGGCAAGATCAAAAATGACGTACGGCTGCCATATCTGAGCTGTGCAGTCTTCACTATTCATCCTTGTCGAAATTTCAAAACGTTTACTTGGCCTTGTGGGTAATTAATTTCATCCCCGTTAGCCATTCCCCACAAACAAAACATTGCTAAATTCCCGCTACTGTATCGCTATTTCCATGGCAAATGTTCAGGCGAGCTACATTCCTTACTTACACCAGTTTTGACCTTCACCGCTAAGACCTGTCATGCCACGTATTCCATTTGTAAAGAGGAAGTTTCTCTAAGCTTTTTTACTAAAAGTATTTGTGTAACACACTCTCAAGAGGATGCTTGGAGGGGAGAAATATATGGATACATACCTTTTCTCAGGGGTACTTGAATTCAACAAACCCGACTGGAATTCGAACACGGTTCTCAGATTCCTCATTCGGAGCCGATATCCATTATACCACAAAGCACCTTTTAAAACAATCTTCTTCAATGACCCCTTTTGTATGTCTCTTAGGCATTGTATTGGGTTAACAATTGTATTAATATGCACTTTCTGGTTGAAAGTGCCTGTGTACCTGGAAAATCAACATTGGCAACAGTGCAAAATATACCTTGATGAAGTAGATTATTATAATTATTGCGACTAGAAAGACACTATTTATATTATTCGGACTATTGTTCTCATCTTTGTCGCCATATTTATTACAACGTTTCGGTCGTTGTACGCCCCGGTCTTCATCGGGTGGTTGGAATGTCGAACTGAACCCTTGAACTCACTGGGTAGACTGTTCTAGTTCCACGTGCCATGTTTAATGGATGTCTGTTAATTCCAAGTTCTCCACTGCCTTAACCGGGTATGGAACTCACACATTTTGGGTCCTGTCACTGGATCTAACCAACATCGAAGTTTAAATGATAATCCCTCTTCCTGTTGTCACTGCCTTGATCCAGTTTTTCGCATTACTGTTCCCTGTTTTTTTTTTTTTTTTTTAATTTATTCACCGTTTTCTTGATGGTTCTTGAATAAATTTTGAAGATGGAAGTCAGATTATGAATGTCGGTACCATTACTGAAGTCCTCAATATTACTTTTTCTCTCATCATTACTCAACTGGGAAGACAGTTAGTCTGAGACAAAACAATTTTAAACTGCTCTTTTTTTTTTTCTTTTTTTTTTTTTAGCTGAATAACTCAAAGGGTTATTCAGTGATTCTTACAACTAGTGTCAAGATGACCAAACATCTTTTCTGAAAAGCTGGATAAAGAAACTCAATTAGTTTAGTGGATTTTTAGATATTAAAATTTTATGGGATGGATAATTATGGTGTTACACGATTTGTGCAATTTTACTATTACACTGGGTGTATGTGTGTATATATATATATATATATATATATATATATATATATATATATATATATAATATTATAGCATTTTATCCCATAAATATAGCACACTTTAAAATTACATTTCTTCATATATATCGTCTATCAGTTAGTGTAGTTTCTATGATTTTTTTTTTTTTAACATACTGTCGATCAATTTCTTTTTTATGATTGAATTTGATTTAGTTTTCAATCGAAATTTTATTGTAATTAATAAAGCTATATCAAGAATGAATCGTCTTTATTTGATATATTTAATAAATCATATCTGTGACATGACTTGTTGCAGCGATCTAGTTAAACTTTTTTTTATTTTAAAATTCCCTCTACCTTGAAGAGGTAGTTAATTATGTCTCTCCACATATTCTGTTTTCTTCTCTGGGGAAAATGTCACGCTGTCTTGGTAAAGACAAAGGAATGCAAATTGCCGTAGCTGGAGATTCCAGTTAACCCTGGTATTTAATCAAGAGCTGATGGGAGAAGGGAGAGTTAGTGTCTTTCTAAAAGACACTTGTGCGAAAATGAATGCAACAGGCGAGGGTTGGCTAGAATTTGGACTCTGATTGCTGATCCTATTTTTTAATCATTTCACCCCATGCAAGGTGAGAATGCCACTAGTACGCATGGGATTACAGGAAGTGAAAGTGAGATCATCTGAGAATACGGGGGATTGGGGAAAAGGACAAAAGAGGAACTGGATTCAAGAAGACAAAAGATGGCGATTGATGTAACATTAAATTTTTTGAAAATTGCAGCTATCAGGGAAGCAAGTAAACGGAAGGGAGTTCCACAGGTGGGAAGTGCAAGTTAAGAGACTTGTTTATCTATTTCAACAGTAAAAGGGTGGGACCTAGATGCAAATCAGGTAGCACACTTAAATAGTCGAAGCACCAGGGAAAAGCTCGTCAGAGTAGTTGCCATGAAGATACTTATGGAAAAGACAGAGGGAAGCCACGTCACATCGGTGAGAAAGTGACTGAAGTCAAAATGCCTTTTCATGATTGATTACTTTACAGATCCTTCTTTGAATTTTTTTCAAAAATCTCGATGTACAGCAGGTGCACCAGACCAGATATGTGAATACTATTCACTGCATGGATAAATGGTAGATTGTAAATGTGCAAGATGGATTCTGGCGGGAATATTTCTTCTGGATTGACACAGTGACGCAAATTTCCTTGCAATAGATGCAGCTATTGATTCGATGTAGTCGTTCCACTTCAAGTCAGTTGAAAACGTGAGGCCAATAAGGCGCATTGTGTTGCTCTCCAGGAGTCTAGTGTCAGCCATGATGATGGTAGGCGCCGATAACCACTACATTAGCGTACTAAATTGTATATGTTTCTGTAAATAGCATCCCGTCGAAATCTAAGATGTTTACTTACTACTTAACAGTTTACTTAAGACCTTGACTACTAGTAGCCAGTTAAGTGACACACATCGAGGTCATACGTAATAATTATTCTTATCTGGCTTCCTCAAGCGTGGTTCATAGAAAAATTGCAGTGAAGATATGGAAGATAAACAGTTATTAAGTATATTTATCGGATAGTTTTTTTGTTCTGGTTTTTTTATTCAGTCGTTCAAACTGCTTTCTCTGAGTCAGGATTGAATAATGTTATGAAAGAATTGTTTAAAAAGCAGTTTCTTGAGTCTATTCTTTGTTCAATGCATCACATTGTGGGAAGCGCTGAATGACTTGTGAATTTGACTATTAAGTAGTTATGACGAACGATACAAACTTGCATAATTTATACGAAGTTGACATTTCCTTTCTTCAGACAGCCCGTTGATAAATTTAACGCCATTTTGACCTTCGTATGCACAATTAGACGTCCGCAAAGCGAGAAAATATCTGACATGTTTTTTTTACACAATTACATAAGCGCTAAACAAAGCATTAGTTGTTTCAATTTTTTCAATTTCTTTTTTCTTTTTGGTTACTTTAAATATTTATAAGGAGCTGACGAGTCAGTTTGGCGATAGTATAGAACAGACAGTCGATATTCAATCCGAAAAGCTGGGATTTTCAAAGTTTGCTAGGTTCCTGTTTTTCTTTTAAACATCGACACAAAAATTTTCCAACCTAACCTTTGAACTTGCGAGGTAGATTTGACGTTTGTAAATATTAAAGCAATTGATGGTAGAAAAAAGTTTTTTTTTCTCTAGTTATAAAATCTATCGTTTCTTACTTTAAAGATTAGCTC